TTATGTGCATTGCGCAGACGCATTGACGTTTTTGGTGCAGCATCGACAACATCCAGTTGATTTTTATTAATTTTACTTAACGTCATTGCGGTGGGAATGATCGCAGCGATCCAATAAAAACCTAAACTGCTGAACAACTGCCAACAACTGGCCAATGCGTCGCACAGTGGAAGGAGGTAAGTTTTAATGTAGTTTGTCATCGCTATGGCAATTCAAATAATTTTAAAACAATAATGTGAGACATTATATCAAAATGTTTCAGATGCGTATTTCATATATCAATCATATAAAGGCAAATATTATTTTGTAACAGCTATGCTGATCTGCACTTGATTATGCAAAAGCTAAATACATTTGTAGCACCTTTTGATCTTCCAAATCAATAATCACGACATTTGCAGGAGAGAGCTGAAAAATTTAAATTAAATTTCAATTGATTTTAAAAATTTTATATCAGAAAAAGATGGAAATTAAAAAACATTTCTATGTGCATGATTTCCCTTTTGATTATTTTTAGGAAACATTTAAAACAAAACAATGAAATAATGAGAACAATTAGAACAAATTAAATCTATCATCTATCTATCGTGAAGTATTTGAAACTGTTACTCCTCCTTTCTTTTTTTGTCCTAATGGGATGAACAGACCTTTTCTATACCCATGCATATAATCTGATAAGCTAATTCTATGTATATAAGTATATATCTAAACATTCTAGTTTGCCTTTGACCGTTAGGGTACAGGATATAATAAAAACCAAATGCCATTGCAAAACGAAAGAAATAGTCTCTTTTTGGAAATTTTCGGAAAATTATTTTGAGAGCTGTAGCAAATTTTTGATCACCTTGATTTACCTTTATAGATGTTGTTGTATTCCCAAAATGTAGCAGGTATTGACGAAAAGGTTAGAGAGATCTATTTAATAACAATAACTTTTGCACCAATGTGCAATGCGAGTTCACTCATATGGTCAATAATGATTACAATTGCAGGCACTTACAATTTTGCAATGTAACTGCAACTGCCACACATACATATATGTATATAATGCACTTATATAGGCGCAAGCAGGCGATTTATGGCATGGGCACACCTGGCACTCTGCTCTGTACTTTGTGCCATTTTTTGTTTCTTCTTTTTATAATTTTGTTTCGAAAAATTCTTGTGCCCATTCGGTCCCCCTCTATTTGGAGCGCTAGACAGCAGCTGCAATGCCTGCCTGCTGTCTGCTGCCTGCCTTTCAATCTGAAGTGGTATGTCATTGTTGTCCGGGCTTCAATCAATTATTAATTACATGGACTGTGTTGCGGCAATTGCATTTAACTGTCGATCATCTGAGAGCGGACAATGGAACGTCTTCATACATTAAGTTTTATTATTTGTATTTCTAGTTGTACTTTGGCTCAATTTGCCGTTGAATTGTTTTGAAATATTTAACAACCGCATCAAAATTAGTTTCGTTATTGCTAGCCTTCGGGGTGCTGAATTGATTTTTTACGTGCGTGTGGTTTTTCTTGGATCCACGCAACGCTTATTTTGTTGTCTTGGGCCGGCTAAGCGTGTGGGAAAATAATTTTCAAAACTTTTAATACCCTTTGCATGGGGTAAAGGGGGCTTTTGAGAATGCTGATAAAAGTTGGCATCGCATCAAAGAAAGCTCCAGATGCGAATATTGTCAATACGAATGTCTTGCCTCCAACTTCATCGGAGGTGGTTTGAAACATCTTCTCCGCAACAGATATGAATTTAAACTTATTTACAATGTGCAAAGCATGTATATATGTAAATATTTGTATTGAAAAACTATTTATTTATAAATACAATTATATTACATACCCCAATTTCTAAAGCTAATTACAAATTGTAGACCTAAAACAAATTGATTGCAAGATTAGGAATTTTTATAGATATAAGCTTTGTTTTCTTAAGTAGTCTTAAATTCAAATTAATAAATAAAATAATGCAGGATTTTTTGTAATTATGAACAGGGTATACCGAATTCGGTTGCGCTCAACCAAATCGTGCATTGTTGTTGTCTTTAATGTGCGGCTCATAAATGATCAAATACAACCAATTTTTGAGCTTACACATACAAATTGAACCTGCCCGGAAATGCAAGGGCGCCCGAGGAAGTATGGAGGCGTGCCTAACAATATCAGCAGCAACAGCAACAACAGCAGCAACATGAGATGCAAATGCAACGAATGGCTTCTAACACACTAAGCAGCAACAGCCATGACATAAAGCCAACCAGGCAAGTTGGCGGCATTTGAGGCTGGCTGGAGACGTGTCTAAAAGTCACATTGCTGACCTTTTTGTGGCGGAGGCTGCGACTGCGCGTGCATTGGAGAAAAGGTTTTTAAGCGGCAGCAGCAACATTGGCAGCAGCAACATTGGCAGCAGCAGCGACACAACCAGCAACAAAAGCAACAACAACAATCGCAGCTCATTAAAATAATATTTAACCTTTGCAGAGGGAAAGAAGATATTGTGGTATGTACGGGTATGTGTGAATGGATATTTTCCAGCGCTTTTGTGTATTTTGTAGCCAACGAACCGTGCGCAATTAAAAATTAACTATTTAGTTTTAATGTTGTCTGCGAAGCCGTCACTACAGCCACCGGCCCCCGCCCTCACTCCGCCCCACCCATCATCTCCACCATTCAATTCAACTCAATTCAATTCAATCTTTTAACGAGTTTTGACAAGCGGGCATTTGTTTTGTCTTGTTTTTGCCCCCTTTTTAGATTTTATTTATTTTTGCAATGGCATGCAGTTTTTGTTTTTGACACCGGACAGGTACGGGCATCCAAAGTTTGGCGTGAACCTGACCTATTGAGTTATGTTCACACGCTGCTGAGGACAGATGGCTAACGCTCGAGGGGTGCGTCGTTGCGTTTTAACCCTGACATCAAATTTGGACTGCCATTGCATACAAATCTCGTATACAAGACAATAAACCATCAAATTGTGTAGATAACGCTTGCCTGCAATTTGTTTTCAAGTGCCTGACACTTTGTGGGCCAAAACCTGCCTTTGATTTAGTGCTCAAAAATCTAACTTTTTAGCTGTGCCTAGACACACACCAACAACAGCAACAAAACGATTGGGTTTGCAATTGGCCGACCGACAAACGTCAGAGATGGTGCTGCGCATTGTCTTCTGCTATCTGGTGTGCGTCGGCGTCTATAGCTTGAATTCATCCGATTGCCGCCCGAAAAGACTTCCTCATCGTAAATTGTAAACATAATCAACAGCAGCTACATACATATGTACTACAACGGCAGCAAGAATTCATAAATTAAAAATTAAATGACAACCTTGGTAGCGTATTAAAAACACAAGTGGTTTAATGTTCAATCTTAAAAGTTGTGCCATTAGTTGCGCTCTGTCTATTCTCGGTCTATTCCTGTTTGTGCTTGAGCTGCTTCTGCTTGTACAGCATTTTGAAGGAAGTCACCACGGGCACCATAATGGGCAAGAAGAGCGGTATGTAGATGGCATATTTCTGTTCATCCGGGAAATAGAGCTGCGCCAATAGACTAGCATCGAAGAAGCCGCGCTCGGAAGCCACAAAGGCACGCTTGGCCAGGGCCGAGGCATCCAGCAGTCGATGCTCGAGCAGTGCCGCCTTGGCCGCCAATATATCCGCATAGGAATTGGTAATCTCAGCACCCACCTTGTCGGTAATGACTATGTAGCTGATTTGATCTGCAAAAATTCAAATTCAAATTATTGGAGCATTGTTTGAAGCGAGTGACCAAATGACTACCTACCCAGCAGTTTTATCAGACTTTGTAGCGTATTGGTGGCCGTGGCAATATGCTTGATGGCACTTCGCCTTATGTACGCCTCATATTCCCAGCGACGTGGCGCCAACTGCTCAAGAGCGACGGACTTGATGCCATCGATTTGCAGCTCGTTGCTAATGTCGAGTAACTTGTGCAGCTGACTCAGCATCACTTGCATATTGTCGTTGGTATTCACATAGTAGGGCACCGGCGCCTCATTCTTATTGTAGGCCAGACACACATGCTCGGGCGGATTGGCAATGATGAATCCGCCCCAAGGCGGTGAGATGAAAGCATCAACGCCCTGTTGAGTGAGCATCTCATTGTTCTTATTGTAGATGTGGATGGGGGCGGTGTTGCAGGGCGGAATGTACACCACCAGATTGATGGCGGGTTTATCTGTAATACTGGCAGTCATATTCTGCGCTATAGAAGTGAGTATATGTGGCAATGCGGACTCCTGCAGAGCATAATGACGACCCAGTTTGGTAGAATCGCGCACTTGTTTTAACTCAGCATCTATCGACACACGATACTTCCATTGTGAGCGCACAGTGTAGTTGGATATGTCTGAGACCTGCGCCAAGAAGGGCTCAATATAGGCTGAAAATTATAATGAAGAGCGGTCATATCCTTTAACGATTATCGCTACTTACTCTGCACTGCTAATGCCACATTCCATTGGGCATATGTTAGACGCGGCTTTGGGTTCAGCACAGAGACAATGACATCGTATGCCGGCTGTGGCGCTTCAGTTTTGGTACCCAGTCGTTCATTTTTGCTAAGAATTTCATTTATGCGATAAGTCTGCAGTATTTTGGAGTTCAAGGCCAGGGCCAACTTGTTGGACGCTAATAGATATAATTGGAGGACGGTTGATTAATCATCAATTGCACATCAATTGCCGCTCAGCTGCCGGCAGGCCCACTCACTTGCATCGCTGCGCATCAAAGCGGAACGTTCTGTGGTCAAAAGCAGCTCCTCCGTGAGCTTGGGCCACTCAATGAACATGAAATCGCCCACACTCTGCGGATGGGTCTTCAGCAGAATAGCTTCGAGGGCAGCCGGCGTGTGGGCCTCTATGGTCTTTGTAGTCGGCGGTAGCTTTGTAAATGTTATGGCCCAGATATCTAAATTGGTTAATGGTATTAATGGTCATTAGCTGCAACTTGGAAAATTACCCACCGCTGTCGCTAAATGCCGCCTGCAGCTCTGTGATGAGCAGCTGAGCGCGACTAGGCTGCTGTGTGTAAATTCCCACCTCCACGGCTGTCCGAATCGGCCGCTCGCTGAGGCGTCCAATGCCCGAGGATGGTAAGCTTACTCTGTTGGGTATACAAATCACGTTAATACGACAGCCATTTACAGATGCAAAACATGCCGAATCACCTATATACTGTCGTTGTTTTCCACCACATGGGCAGGCCCACCACAATGATGACTACAATGAACGCAACTGTCGCACCAATGCGAAATTTATCTGAAATTCAAATGAATTAATTATTTTTATCATAAAATTAATCAATTTTGGTTGTATATAAGTATAATCGAAATGAAATTACATTTCAGGTCTTTTTAATTAGTCCTGTACACACTAATTTTGTGTATTTTTTTTTAGCTAATGGGAAATTTGAAAAATGTGGAAACAGCTTAATTAAAAGAAATTGGTTGGTTTTTCTTGTGCACATTTATTCAATTAAAAAAAGTATATATTTTATGAAACATTTTAGTCGAAATGCACTACAAGTTCTTATTGCTTAGCCATCATGTTACTCGGCATTATTTACAATCAACCGTTATCAATTGAAATGTAGATGTAAAAATAACAAATGTTGTATAGTAGATTGTTTTGCCAGCGACAGTTTAACAAAAATTGTGCCTCGAATGTATTACTGTGCTACTCCCTGTAACTGCAGGATATAACAAAAACGGGTCCTGTCTCCAACGGCGTATTTCGCGACACGTACTTTGTGAATTTTGTAGTGCCCTCACAACGATAAACAATATTCAATGCATTGTCGACGGGCGTTATTGTAAGCAGCACTGAATCTTCCTGAGCGGTTTCGATATCCTCAACGTCGCCATCGACTTCGTCTGCCACATCTTCAACGTCACTGTCATCATCATTTTTATCGCCACAACCATCGAGCCCTCCGTTGAAGCTATCCCCAACCATCTGCTCATTGCTGTCGTTTATCTGCTCCGCACGTGGCTCAGCCTCAGGCGAAAGATAAGTTATTACCGCCGCGCCCTCAGCCGCATTTAGGTAATAGACCAAATCTAGAGTGTTCTCCTCGCTAATCAGACCATCACCAAGCACCGTGTAGTTGCCGTGCGACCAACGCTGAAGTTCCACACTGCATGTGGGTGTTATGGCATCCGCGCCGTACAGATCCAGGTCAGTAAAGTCTCGCAGCAGATCGAACATGGAATTGCTCCGAAACAGCTGTAGCAATTCCTCTACTGTTTTGCTAGCCGTGCTCAGGTCCAGCACTTCGTAGTTGTGGCAGTTAGCGGGACCTTGACGCTGCCAGACAAGTGTTTCATCGCTTAAGAGCTGAGAACGCGCCAGCTCAAACTTCTCGCGCTTGAAGAATTCATATAGACAAATCTCCGAGTTGTCCTCGATACGTTTCTGAATGCTGCGACGTGTGGCCGCCTTTAAATACACATCGTTAAGCAACATACCTAAAGCTGGTCTCTTATTAACATCTGGTTGTACGTAATTGAGGCGGGGAAAAGGGCGCAACGAATCTTCGACGATAGCATCGTTGGTGGCGCCATGGAACCAGCCATTTATTGTCAAGCGCGGGTAGTCGAAAGTAGTCACTTCTCCCACCTGGTGAAAGGAACGTGAACCGACTTTGAAGAATGCGAACTGATTGTTTTTTGGCGCTATTTTACGTTGAACTGGAAACTGCGGAAAGCCTTCGTTATCACTAGAAAATATTTCTAAGCATCCCCCTTGCTCGTCCGACCATTCTTCGGCGCCTTCCCACGGTGTGAGGTAGTATATAAATGCAACTTGTCTATCCTTCAGCAAGTCGTCATGCACTAGTAAGTAATCGCCACATGTATACATGGAGCAGGAGGCTGACACGTAGTCTAACTTCAGATTGGTCACTTGCTCCAGCCAGGGACGCACTTGCCGTCGCAGTAGCTGCAAAAATTTGGTCAGCAGGTGACACTCGGCCATGTTGGAAAGATCTGTGCTTTGGTAGAATTCATACAAATCCATCTGTTTACGTGACCATCGCACCTTGTTGACCATCTCGTCCACCAGAGCCTTGGTGGTCTCCGTCGATAATACCAGATCTGGCATCAGGCAAATCTGAAAAGGTTCGCCAAATATTTGTGCACCGGTATTCTCCTCCTTCGCAGCATCTGCCTGCTTCTCCCAGCTAGTCTGCAGCCACTTGATAATATCTTTCTGCTGGTATGTGGCATTCAATTCCAATTGCAAACCATCGCACTGGTCGTCACTGAGACGCGCGAATTTAATTTGCGGTTCGTCGCTGTCCGCGTCCTCGTTGAGGTCTGCAAGGGCAACACAATGAATGACACTCCATTAAGCATATGAATATGAGCATACCTTAAATTGTAAATATGGTCGCGATATTATCGTCAACACACACTTCACACACACGCTTATCTCTTTTTTATACGCAAATCGCTAGGATAGCTTTCTGCCGGCTCACGTTGGGTTAGTTATACTTATTCAGTTTATTAGATTTGGACTCACCTTCATTTTTATCTCTTCTCTTCGGCTTAAATACGGGGCTGTTCTTTGTTTTTTCCATTCCTTATACTATTTAACTGCTACTTTAGGGTAGAAACTGTCGCACAAAAGTAAATTTTATTCTGAGTTGCCGATTTGTGCTAGGTGCAAGAGATGTGCAGCATTTTATACGGGTGGGTATCGATATATGAGTCGATTCATTTCACATTAATTTCAATCGAGTATGAGCTAAAGTTTTGATGTTCATTTCTTTATCCCATCGCTAACATTCATTTATTAAGTTGGATCCCCAATCCATCGCCGTCCACGTAAATAAAAAAATTGTTTGCCGAAAGATGATCTATAACAACGATTAGTCAGCGTCGTAGTTGTTTACAGATTAGAACTATTTTTATATGTGAGATCAAAAGAGTAAGTGCGTGGGCAGAAACAAAGCTTTCATTTAATGCCATAACTGTTCGGACATTAAATTTAGAACTTTTTATTTGGGAGAAGTGTCGCTCAATGCCGTTCGATGACCTTGGGAGAGCAAGAACCAGCCCTAAAACATGCACAGTACAATCTTTAACAAAATTGTGGAATGTTATGCGCTGAACTTTACAGTTCCAATGAATTTGTAAACAGCTGACTACCACCTGTTGAGGTGGGGCTGAGAGGGCGGTGTTTTTTGAGAGCATGATCTCATTCATTTAAATTAAGAACGGCGCTCACTTAATAAAAGAATGTAACTTCATTTTGGCGTTTGTATTTAATAGGTTGCACAATAGCTTCAATGGGCAAGGATCAACACCTACTGGAAGCGTCACGAAGTGGTGATATAAAAACGGTTGGAAAACTTTTGGAACTCACAACAAAACGTTTTGGGCCACTTTCGAGGTACGAAGCAAGAATTTTTACTAGGATATACATATTTTATAACGTGTCGCCTCGCAGCTTTCGGCGGAGCCCCAGCATAAATTGCCAAGATGTTAATGGTTATACATCGTTGCACCACGCCTGCCTTAATGGCCATAGCTCCATTGTGCGCCTCTTGCTCGCCCACAATGCACAACTCGATGTGCCTGATATTAGAGGATCCACGCCCTTATTCTTGGCGTCTTGGGCTGGCCATCAAGATATTGTAAAAATGCTGCTGATGCACAGCCCCAATCCCGCCAATCCCAATGCCCAGACAATTGAAAACGAAACACCGCTGCACTCAGGTGCTCAGCATGGCCACAACGCAGTCGTTGCCATCTTACTATCTTATGGTGCTGATCCCACTATTCGCAATAATAGCTTTCAAACAGCATTGGATCTGGCGGCACAGTTCGGGCGTCTGCAAGTGGTACAAGCACTACTGCGCTTAAATCCTGAATTGATAGCGCTATATCGACGTTGTAAGGGAGATGAGATGCCAAAAATGTTTACACACACTTGCCTCCACTTGGCTAGTCGCAATGGTCATAAGAAGGTGGTCGAAACTCTGTTGGCGGCCGGCGTGGATGTCAACATACTTACAAATGCTGGCAGCGCTCTGCACGAGGCTGCGCTCTGTGGGAAAAAGTCGGTGGTGATTACATTGCTTAATGCTGGTATCGATGTTTATGCTACAGATGGCAATGGACGTACTGCATTGGAAATACTGGCCGAATATCCTCCACATGTAACATACGATATTGTAGCCGTCATAAAAGGTCTTTAGGCGACATCCCCTACGAGTGCTTTTTATAAATTAAATGTCTGCTGTAATTGCTTACAGAATTCATCAACTTGTGTGAGGCTCAGTTGCTACGCTCAAATCAGACGGAGCTTGTCACCAACATTGTCATTGAAAATGGTACACATTCATTACCCAAGAGACTGTACGAAAAAAACTCACAGCGACAAAAGCAATCTAAGTTTTTCGATCTGCCCAAACAGAGGAAGTAAGCGAAGATCGGCAACAACCTAACTACCAATTCTAACATGTGATATGTGGAATGCTTACAAACTCACGCCCACACACACACATCTACATTTTTAAACCGACACACACACACACACACATTGACCTCAATTAACCAAAAGCAAGATTAATTCTTCTGTGTGCTCAGCTTGCTGTTGTCCATATAATAATACCAACAGACATTCGGAAACGCACTCATTCCACCATTTGCACCCGCACCCGCATCCACATTGACAAACACATTAGCATCCATCACCAGTTAAATTGGTTTGTACGCCTTTAACGCGCCTTCATAACGGGTTGGTCTTATTTGGTCTCTCTATTCCACAATCGCCTCCTACTCAAATCTATAGAAAGCATGCACACCAAAATGGACTTTCGCACTCTTTAAGCTCGCTCGATAATTACACCACTGCACCGGAGAACTATCTTCACATGAAGCCTATTAAAGCCCAGAAGTCCGTTAACGATATGGACACAATTGAGCATTGCAAGCAATCACAAATGGAACTGTGGCCCAGCTACCAGCCGGTCTACAAGCAACCATATCAAAGCGCACTTTTACAGCAGAGTGGCAATTTTTCCGGCGGTTCTGTCCCTTCACGCTCGTACGAATTCATCAATATGCTCAAAAATAGCTCCGGTAGTGAGGATAATAGCGCATCTAGTAGCAGTAAGCGCCTACAAAGGCGTCCAGACGAACATGAGACTTATGATTTGTATACTTTTGCATTGGCAGATACGCAGCGTCCCCCACAAATAGCTCCATATGTGGAGATGGCACTGCACAGTCCTGTTCCAGCCCCACGTACTCGTACAAATGGTGACTATGCCAATATAAATGAATGCTCAGCACAGCCGTTGGCTAGGGAACGGCAGAGTGCAACCCCCCCAAAAAGTGTCGATGGCAACAACAACAGCAACACTAACCACAAACTATTTCGCGCTGTCACGCACTCGCCTACGCCCGATTATCCTCCTCCAACGGTCAGTGAGGCAGAGAATATGATTTCGTACTACATGCAGCCGCTGGCACAGTGTAGAATAACATCTTTGGATGGGGCAAGTGATTCGCCACGCACCACATATTCATTTTCCTCTGATCATGTTGAAGAGTTTGTGAGTGATATACCATTTGCAGGTGGGTGTGTAAATACAATGTGACCATCAATTCAACGAACCCGCATGCTTTAACTCGTCCTATGTTGCAGGTCTCTACAAAGGCTCAACATTGAATTTGGCACAGGATGAGTTGGATGGCCGTAACTCAGTAGCTGCTAGCTTACGATCTCCAAGTATGGTACGATCCGTAAACAATAGGCGAAGTCTATCGAAGCAACGGTTTTCAACAACCGGCGAGGACTTCAGCGCGTCACGGGTTTGGGCTGAAATAGATACCATCTTTGAGCACATTGGCAATGAAGTGTCTACGGTGGAACGGGAAGAGCCACAGTCGCAACACATGTCCATAGATGATGATCTACGGCACTCCCTGCACATTCGCAATCCGGCTGAGCTGTTGTTGGGCAAAACGCAAAGCGCTGCATCCCATTGGTGCCATTCCCCTTATACCCTTATCTACGGCGAGATTCGTTACACGGTCTTTGTGAGTATCAAAAGTTTAAGTCACAAATTAGGCTATTCCCAAAAATATGCATCCCTACCCCATATTTGATATAGTATTTGGGATCAACGGTTATACGACAGCTTCAAGGAACAATTTCAGCGCGTAAATCTATTCAAAAGCTTAAAATCGATGAAAACTTTGAAACACCAAGCGGTGTCAGCGATTTTAGTCTGCTAGAAAATTGCAATACATCCACAAAGTATTTAAAAGCTGCTAATTTGCAGACTAGGTTGCAAGTAGATATTGCCGTTTCATGTGTTGGCGTCAAGTTCATAGATCACGAGAAAAAGGTAAATATGCGAAACGTACGTTGTTATGTTTATATAATTTCTTTATTGTATTTTTCAGACTGCCATTTGTGCTCATGACATAGAAAACATAAATTGTGTATGCCAAGATGTAGATGATTTACGTTATTTTGCGTATTTAACCAAAGAACAGGAATTGCATTACTGTCATGTATTTATGGTGGATAGTCTAGTAAGTATAAATACCTACAAGAATTTACATAATTCGACTTTATATCTAACCCAACGGTGACTTTTGCAGGAACTGGCAAAGGAAATAATTTTGACACTTGGTCAAGCCTTTGAAGTTGCCTATCAACTTGCCCTGAGCAGACAGGGAACACCACTGACCGAAGAGTGCTAAAGCCAAAGGGTGTGCCATTAACATGGTCGCTTTGTATTAACGTTTTAGTAGTAAGATGTATTTGATTATTCTTGTCAAGAACTACTGCAAGCATTTTTTACGAGAATGTTTTTCATTTGCTAGTCGTTGATGCCATTTCATCGCTGGGCTTCATTAAAATGCACAAGCCAAGCATCTGAAAGTATTTTCATGATTTTTTTCTAATAAATGTTCAAACATATAATGTAAATAAATATCCGAAATATTTAAAATAAACTGCCGATTGCAAAACCTATCGCTAATCGTGCCGTCAGAATTATCGTCGAAAAGAGAGGCAGGGAAAAGCATCGGTAAATGAGTAGTATCGCTGCAGAATCAAACACAACGTACAGCTACAACGCGCGCTGGACAAAAAAGTGACGCCTTGAGAAAAATCTGAACCAATTTGAAAGGGTTTTGGAAAATAAATCACATTTTAATATGGATCCAGGTAAATATGAGTAGGTCCACAACGCGAATAACATTATGCTTAATGCTTTTAACGTGAATTTCATAGCTGAAAATGAAAATTCTGTGAATGTCGAGAACACACCAGTGGCTAAAAAAACACGACGCGCAGCGCGTCTTGCGAGCGAGAAGAAGGACAAAGCTTTAGTGCCAATTGAAAATATAGTATCTCCGAAAACAGCGCCTGTGGCAGCACCCAAGACGCCAAGCTCTAGCATGAAATTTGTACCGGAAACACCGCGGCGCAGCGCTAGAAAAAGCGTACGTCCTCCACTTGACTATGATGAAATAATTGAAAAAAACGCACGGTCAGCCAGCAAGAACATCCAAGAAGCCAACAATGGCGATGAGCAATGTTCACAAAAGTGGACAGCATCAGAGGTTGGCAGGCCCTCGCGCAAGCGCAGCCGTAAATCGAAGCGTACGGCTAACAGTAACGTAATAGAGAGATCTGAGGTATGTGGTTCTTCCAATGAAGAGCCTAAGGAAGTTACAAAAGAAAACATCACTGATTTGAAAACAGTAACCTTGCCTCAGGAAGCACATGATGAAGCACGATCCACTGGTGAGGCAGTTACTTGTGTTCAGAAAGAAACTATTGAGATGCATTCCACTTCTACGGATGCAATCACTTTGCCTCAGAAGGAAACTTCTGAAGGAGAACTCACTAATGGGGAAGTGGTAATTTTTACCCATGAGGACCGCACTGAAGAGTTCGCTATTGTTGAAGCAACAGGCATGCGTCCGGATGTAGAGTGCTCTATTGCTGAAGCAACAACTGTGAGTTCGGATCATACTCTTGAAGTAAAGACCACTCCTATGGGTCAAAAGGAAAATAATGGAGGACTACACCCAGACGAAATGGAAGAATTAGGCTTAAGCCCTATCGAACAGGACGATGAAATGCCATCATTAATATTGCTAGATGATGGCGAGTTGTGCTCGTCGGTAGAGGAAATGAAAGTATTGCTAGAGAAACCGATTAAAGCTGAAAATACGTTGCAGCTTATGGAGTGTTCGAAAGTTGAGGAGGCACTAAACACTACATTCGATGCAGATAAACAAGACGACATGGAAGTGGTGCCACAGATGGTAGTGTCGCCAGAAAAAAAATTGAAAGTCAAAAATTCCATTAAAGTTGTCTTAACTGACATTGAGGACCACAGCTCAACTATTCTTAACTTAGATGACTCTACTGATCCTAGAACAGGAGCTGTAGCTCGCTGTGGGCTCAGCCGTTTTCCCACTCCTTATAAATCGAAACCACTATCAAAGAATGTTGGTAACAGAAATACCCCGAAAATACGAGAAAAAAACTCCTCGTTCAATATAAATTGTTTGGATGTTGCTGATCCCATTAAACGCCGTCGGTCGAAGTCAATTTCAGAGCTAAAGACAACAAAGGCGGTATCATTTTACAGCCCCATCGAAATTGTTCATATCGACGATATAGATGAGCGTTGGAAGCCGGTGCAGGATAATCGTAAGTGTTTGGTTACTGACGGTCTAATCAATCTAACCTATGTTTGTTTTTCGATTATAGATGTCACCAAGCGCCGCAAGCGTTCCATTTCATTGGATGAAAGAAGACTTAGGCCCAGCAGGATTCCGAAGCCAAGTAAGCACAATGGAAAATATAACTTATATGTAGACAGAAATAAACATCCCACTCTTTTCTACAGCTAGCTTTGAAATTAAGAAAGACAAAACAAACACAGTAAGTAAACCGAAAACTCGCGGCAAGTTACCCAATTTCGCTGCAATACACAAAAAACAATCAGAAAAAATGGAAAATTTGGTGCAATACATTGAACGTAAGGCAGAGCGTGCAAAGGTACTAACCAATTCTGCTTCCAAGTTGCACCTCAGCTCCACAGGTAAGAAACGAAAATCTTTGTAACCGGCTTTTTTAATTTTCGAAATCGTTCAGGTTCCGAAAAAAAGGGTGCAAAAGTGCTGGCCACAGATTCTTCCATTTTACAACACCAGCGTCCTTGTGCCATGAAAAAGATCGACCTAACGAACGTGCAACAAACACCCATTAAACTAATGGAACAGGAAAGGCAACGTCTTATGATTCTTCCGAAACCAAGTCAGACTGCATGCAATGCTCTAAAAAGCACGAATATATCAAATGCTTTAGGTCCAAAGCCCGCATTTAATTTGTCTACGTCGTTAGTTAAGAGTTTTTCGGCTGTTCCGAACAAAAATAATACTCAGGAAAATCCAGTGCAGGACAAAGTACTGGACAGACAAGAGCGTCATAAGCAAATGTATAAGGGGGGACGTGTAAAGGAAAACAAAGCTGATTTTATTCGCGGCGTACGATTAAACCGACGCTTTGAATTGCAGATGCAGCATCGTCGACAGCTCGATGAAAATTGATTTAAAATTAGTGTTTAAAATTCAATTTTATGTTCTTATATTTATGTATATTTCTGTTAAATATAATCAAAATAATTCATTTAATAAGTTGTATATTTTTACTATAATTGGTAAGTATAGTACATATAGTTTTTATAATTGTCCATATAATTTCATCAAAATACACTTATGACTTACATATATAGCACTGTACAAAATATAGAATCATTTGGGGATGTTTTGGTAGGAGCCGTTTCGATTAAAAATAAAAAACAAGAATCGAATGAATACATCAAGGAAAAAATGGCTAGGGCTTATACCATGTTTGTTATGTTATGTTCTTACACGGTAGATTGGTTCCAGAAAAAGCCGTGTGCAAAAATTTTATTCAATCCATGTAAAACTAGAATTAGCTATACTTATATGCATAGTTTTTTAGCTGTGATACACTCTGAGATCCTTTCGCTCATCCAGACGGACGTACATGGCTATATGCACTTGTCATACTTATATCAAGAATATACATACTATGTATATACTTTGGGGGAATTTTTACTCCTCCAGTGTTCTACATATGTATGTAAGTATATGTACGTACAATATTAAAAACTAGTTCCAGTTCCATACCATGTCGTATGAATTTATAAAGTAGAACTGTGATCCCCTAAGAAAGAAATTCTGCATCGCCACTGCTTGCGTTTGTGCATGTAGAACCACACACACAAACGTTCATAATATACACATCCATACATAGGAACATTCATATGTGTGCGTGTGATTTTTAGCAGACCTAACTGTTCATGAACAGACTATTTTACAACAACAATAGACATTGCTCAAATTAATTTCATCTCAGCTTCTGTTTGGTGCCTATACAAATTACATTCAACACGTAAATTTGACCAATTTCAAAGTACGGCTTTGAACTACAAAAGGTAACCTTCCGGCGGCTTATGTGGAATCTGTAAAAAAGCTTGGCAACGCTATCTAACGGCGGTGCAAATTCGTGGAAACAAAGTTAGTTCTTATTTAACAAAATCATTGAATTATTAACGAGCACATAAACTCTGTAATAAATTCACTATTGGCAGGCAAGAGTCGAGTATGGGGGACGAAGGTTCTGAACATCTGGTACGACCATGGCAATTACCCAACTATTACTATGGCGCTGGCGTCGTGGGACTGCATCAAGAGATTGAACATTTTTACAATTATATTTTGGCCACGCCGACAGAGCTTGCGATGCGGGCTGAAACAGTTCGTCGAGTGAAGAACCTTTTGCTGTCCTTGTGGCCAGATGCCTGCGTCGAAGTATTTGGTTCGAGTCGTACAGATTTATTTTTGCCTGCTTCCGACATTGACGTTGTTGTCATCGGCTATTGGGGCCGGACGCCGCTTTACGACCTAGAGAAGGAACTCATTGCACGCCAAGTCGCGCTGCAGGGCTCAGTGTGCGTGCTGGATAAGGCGTCGGTGCCTGTGGTTAAGTTTACAGAGAGAGAGTCACAAATTAAATTCGATATTTCGTTCAATGTGGACACAGGACTAAAAGCTGCCGAACTGATCAATGAATTCAAGCACAAGTATCCCGAAATGCCCAAATTGGTGATGGTGCTGAAGCAGTTTCTGACCATGCATAGCTTGAACGAGGTCTACACTGGTGGCATTTCATCGTATGGGCTAACTTTAATGTGCATAAGCTTTCTACAGCAGCAAATTCACATGAAAAAGTACAAATACAAAAACAAATTGGGGATGCTTCTGCTCAGGTTCCTGGACTTCTATGGACGCAAGTTCGATTATTTCAAGTACGGCATATCAGTTCGCGGCGATGGCAGCAACGTGGAGAGAAGCCAATTACAGACTGCACTGGCAGACTACAATTGGCAATCCGTCCTGTGCATTGAAGACCCCATAACCCCAACCAATGACATTGGACGGAGTTCATACGCTGCGCTTTATGTGAAAGAAGCTTTTGAAAGTGCCTATCTGAAGCTATCGAAGCTGGTGGACTCGGACTCTACTAAAGTTGTGGGTTCTATACTAGGTTGCATTGTGGATGTGCCGCCAGATGTGCTCCATTACCGTCAGTGGGTCCACAGGAACTTCCAACACTTGTCGTTAAGGGGTAACGTCTCGCCTAAGTATAAAAGGTGGAAACACTGGTATTGCAATTACGACTACCAACATAACAATAACTACAACTTGGAAGAGTTTGCTGAAAATGTACAGGTGGATCAAGATTCTACGTTTGCAGGCCCCGCCATACCTGCTGCCAATACTGTCCCTCTTGGAGAGAATGGCATGAGTTTCAAGAGATATGGCTAATATAAGCGGGCTCAGTATTATACAGTTTAATAAGTTCCAATTCTGCATTTAGTTTTACGTTTGTCATATTTTAGTTAGTTTAATATTTTATATTTTATGTATGCATACATATTTAATTCTGTGAAAGTAAAAAAATTCAAAAGCGAATCGAAATCTAATTTGAAACCGATCACTGGCGTGGTAAGTCGATTCTTATCGGCATATCCTTTAAAGCAGTTGGCAGCCCCTCGAGCAGCTGTCATAGTCTCGTGAACGTGTGTGTTGGTGTTAATGTTGTGTAAACGCTGGTCGTGAAAAATTTTGCCGCACGCTGTGGGGATCTGGAGGATTGTACATTATTTCATAATATTTTAAGATATGTTGACCATATTACGTCAGCGCCATTCGCCGCTTACAAATGCCGCTCATCGCTTCCTGCAGACCACGAGCCCTCGACCGGGATATATTGTACTGTAAGTGTTATCAGTCGCAAAAATTTGTTTATCAAATGGAAAAATGTTCAATTACCGGCTTTCAGCGTTCCCGAAATTGGTGAAGATGGGCATCAGAACGAGGGAGTGCTGAAAGCGGATGGCTTGCCCGCTTTTAATGATATAACTATCGAGCTGGCACTGGGCACAATAGGACAACAAGCCGCACTTGTTGAGAAGACTGTCAAAGCTCTGGAACAGGACATCAAAAACGGAAAGCGGCTGAACAGCGCAGATATCTACACCGAGCTAGATGCAGTCACAGGTCCGCTCGACACGACCTGGGGCGTAGCCAAGGCTCTGTATCTGGGCGCCTGCACTCTTATACCCACGAAGACGTATATGAATATTCACGAGCGGGCGCGGAACGCACGTGCTGCGAAGTACTGCAACAAGACCATATATACAGCGCTGCGGCAACACGAAGATGCAGGTGCAGGCGAGGCAGAGCAGCGTCTGCGCCAGAAATTTCTTTTGGAGGGCAAGCTTAATGGACTTAATCTAAACAAGGACTCACATGATGGCCTCAAGGAGCTGTTGAGTCAGTTGGGACGCGAACGGGCAAGTTTCAAGAACAAAGTGAATATGTCTGTCCACACATTTGCGCATGTGGTCAGTGATTTCCAGGTGGTGCGTGACTTCCCATCCACGTTTCTGGAGGCAACCGCCCTTGATGTGAGGCAGCCACTGCAGGGCCCTTGGAAAGTGACGTTGCAACCACAGATCGTCGAAAGCTTTCTCAAATACTGCCCGGATAGACTGCAGCGCTGGAATATTTGGCGTGCCAACGCTGTGAAAGCTTCACAACAACAGGATAAATCATTGGAGAACAGCACGCATCTCGAGAAGATCCGGGCACTGCGCAAACGACAGGCCAATATCCTTGGTTATGCTAACTTCGCCGATATGTCTATGCAAACAAAAATGGTCGGCAGTGTGGACAACTTAAAGATAATTTTCGCCAAGCTTCTCAAGTTTGCAGGTCCGGCGCAAATGACGGAGCTGGAGGAGCTACAAAAATTCGCCAGCGCCAACGGCTTTGAACAAAAGCTGGACTTGTATGATGTGAGCTACTGGCGCCGCAAGCAATTGGCAGCCGAGCATCAGCTAAATGAGGAGAAAATTAGCGAGTATTTCCCTCTGCCACGTGTGCTTTCGGGCATCTTTTCGTTAAGCGAGAAACTCTTTAACATACGCATTGTGGAGAACACGAAAGCAGAAGTTTGGCATCCGGCCGTGAAGTTTTACGAAGTATATGACGGCGACGTTAGCGATGCATCCAGTCCTGTGGGCGGCTTCTATGTGGATTGCTATTCGAAGGAGCATAAATTTGGGCGCAACAACGGATGGATGGTGGGCATTCGGAATGCCAACAAATCTGCTGACCTCACTCCACTTTGCGCTCTCATCTTCAACTTTAGCGAGCCGTTGTTGGGAAAGGCACCGCTTTTACGATACGAGGATTTGCAAATGTTGTTCAAGACATTCGGCTCGGCGCTACAACATCTGCTGACACAGGCGGGTTATACTGACCTTGCTGGGCTCTCCAACATCGAGTGGGATGCCTCACAAGTCTCCGGCTATGTGATGAGCAATTTTCTCGATGACGCCGCGGTGTTACAAAGCCTTTCGGGTCATTACGCCAATGGCGAGCCTATTGATGCCTCATTGGCGGAAAAGATGCGCCTGCTAAAAACACAACTGGCTGGCTATAATTTATGTCAGGAACTCTACTATGCCGATCTTGATATTGAGCTGCATCGCTCGGGGGCCTTCTGGCTGGATGTCGTGCGCAAGCTGTGGCCAGTTTACCAAGCAATGCCCCTCAACAAGAAGGATTCGCACCCGTGCTCTATGTCGGACATCTTCTCTGGTGATTGGGCCGCTGCACAGTTTAGTCATTTGTATTCGAAGATGATTGCCGCTGACATATCAAGTAGCTTTGCCGAGCAACGCAACAGCACAGACTACAGTACAGTGGGCAAACGCTATAAACAAACGTTCCTCAGTTCCGGTGGCTCCATGCCTACGGCCGAGGTATTCCGACGCTTCCAGGGCCGTGATCCATCTGTGGAGTCGCTTCTCAAGTCCCTTAGCATTTTCGTGCCCTCACAGACGACAGAAAATAACTAAAGAGGTGGCCAGCTGCGTGCTGTCCCAAATCGCTGCTGTTATCTTTTGTTTTATATTAGTGCGGTGATAATGTTTGACATTGTAAAGTAGCGCGAATGCGCGTGGGATAAACTAATTATTTACACATAGTGAACAGATAATTTCTTATCGTTGAGTGACTCACTGGGCTGCCGAGTCAACCAAAACAGGTGTTACTTTTAATAACGGCGGGGGTTACTCACGGCACCAATAATATATGTGTGGAATGATTATTTGCTAGATTAAACATACATTTGTTGCTTTATTTAAATAATACTTTAATAATAAATTGCATAAATTTATAACATTTAACATATTCTCGTTTGTTTTTGTTTTTTGTTTCAGTTTCCGTACAATTTAGTTATCATATATACAAAAAACACAAAGGCAAATCATTCATCATCATCATTATTCAGAGTAGGGAAAACTTGACTTTTTAATGTTCAGCTTAGAGTGAAATTTTCAATTGTTTTTCACTTGCACAATATAGTTAGTTAACCATTATCTAACACGTGCACTTGGTATAAAATATATTTATGTATATAATAATTCATAAGTTAAAAAAGCTCATTGCGTGTGGTTGTGCGGGTGTACTTTCTTCTGTGGGAGGGGCGAAAGGGGTTATGTAAAGAAATAAAATTTAGCCACCGCTAATAATTTAAATGAAGGGATCACCAAAGAAAAACCCACGCAAGTTGCCTGGCCAAAACTTAGGAGATAAAAATTGTAGCTACTTCTTCATGGAATTAATTTATGTATATGAGCTAGTAGAGACGAATGGTATTACATAGATTAGATCATAGTTTGATAAAAGTTGCTTAGGCTTCGTTTTTTAAGTGCGACAAGTATGGGTTGTGTGTCTTGCTTATATAGGAGAGCAGGGGTGTGTTCAGGATATTTTTTTTAGAATATGTGCTTGCCACCAGATTTAGGGCAGCATTTCGTTCGTTTTCGACCAACACCTGCTGCCGTTATATCTTGCTCAGTAGATGTCTGGACAACCAGTCCAGTCCTGCGCCTCCTTCGCCTCCCAATATGTGTTTTTGTAGACATGCACAAAGTTTTCTGTGCCATCCTCTTTTTCGCGCTTGAACCACATTGGCTCATAGGCCGGGTATGGTCGGCCCTCTGCCGCCGCCGCTTCTGCATCAGATTCGCGTTGCCTTCGCACGCTGCGCTGCTTCTCCTCCAGTCGTAGTTTCTCTTTGTTGCTCTCGTCCCAGTCGCCGATCTCCATGAGACGTTGATCGGGGCGATGTCTGGAGTCTGTGGGTGCCACACCCTCCTCCATTTCATTCAGTTGGCATGCCAGCGTAGTAAAGTTATAGAATTTATCTGAATCAGGTGGTGGTGGACGTCGCTGCCATGCCACCGTATACGCTCCAGTTGTATAAGTCGGACTGTCCGCAGTACCGCTTGTAGCCAGCACTGGGGCTATTTCTATCTTTTCGTCCCAGGTGCCGCGCACCACAAACTTCACTTCGTTTTTTCGATTTATAACCACGCCCTTTACGCTGCGCTGCACCTCACGCGAGAAATACGAGTAGGGTATAAAGTTTAGAACGCATTTGTTTCCCTCAGCCGCATTTGATCCCACGATCTCCATCTCTCCCTGTTGGTCTACCCACAGCTTTCCCACAATTATATTATTCACTGTCGTTGTCACTTTGCGCCAAGAGTACCGATTGCCACTTTCTGAGAACAGCAGATATGCGGCACCGAGGGGGTTTACCTAAAATAAATCGGAAATAAGTTAATATTGGGTGGATAAGTATGGCAGGTTTATAGTGGATGCCGATTAATAATACTTGTATTACTTTTTGTAGTCAGTTTCGGGAGCAACTTACCTGCACATACTTGCCGCGAAACTTGCTGGTCATGGAGAATTCCTGCCAGCAGGTCCAATCCCTGCCCTCGCAGTGTATGGCGGCTACGGGTGGATGATGTGAAACCTGCTCGGCCAGACAACGCCAACCCAGATCGTCTCTGCGGTCGCATTCGAAAGTTTCACCCAGTAGTGGATTAAAGGGTTTGCCAGTGCGATTCGAGGTCGTTGCATATGCTGAGACAGTAAAGGCGGCCACATAGGCCAGTTGCTCACACTCGTCCTTGCACCGTGATGCGATGTCCAGAATATCGGCGTATTCGTAGTCCTCGACTAGGCGTTGCAGCATGGACAGCGGTTCGTTAAAGTTCACTGGCATGGGTATTTTGGACAGATCCTTGCCAATACAGTTTTTCATTATGGACCATAAGCTAAGCGGATAGTTGGGCTTGTCGGGCACCCTAGAGCGTCGCGGCCTGCTGATTCTGCGCTGGCTTCCACTCTCCGAGGGCAACGTATTTTTTGGGGACGACGAATTCGCGGCGGCGTGATCGATCTTGTCATCATCGCCAGAGGCCACGCGCGGTGCACTCACAACACGAACCTGTTGTATGGTCTTCACTGTGCGTTTCTGCTCATCGCTCTCTGATGAGCTGCCCGTCTGACCCTCAACTTGGTCCTCGGAGCTGCTGCTGCGCTGACCAAGTTTCACAATAAATGTCCGCTCTCCTGATAACGGCGACTCGAGGCGACCCATATAGCCGTTCTCCTCGGCATCGAAGTATTCCACTTCATCGTCAGAAGTTAGCATCGTGCTGGAGGTGCCTGCAGGGAGAAGCATAGTAGTGCTCGATGATACCATGGCCGGAACCGGCTTGTTTTGTCGCACCAAGACTGCGGCCTGCTCCATTTGAGACTGCTGCTTGGCCATTTGCTCAATGATCTCCTCTAGCCGTTGGCGCTGTTCGCGCTCGTGCTGCAACATTTTGGACCATTTGTAGCCCTGCGACTCTGCCGTGTGCAAATAATCATTACCGGCATTTATCATTGCATTCGATGTGATGCGGAAGAGTGTGGCGCGTTCGTAGACAATTTTTGTGCGGCTCGCCAGCGACTCCTCGTCGTTTGATTCCAGATCATTCAATGCCCGCTGGAGCGCGGCACCATGCTTTGTAATCAGATCGTAGCAGGTGCGCATATTTTCCAGCCTTTCGGTAAGATCGTGCACAACCGCGTTGATCTCTTGACTGGGCACCACTTGCGCCGACTCTTCAGCTTCCTCTTCCTCGCTCTCAATGGCACGTATGGCCTTTGCCTTGGCCAGCTCCAGTGCTGTGACCCATGATTGACGCTCCACTTCGTTGCCGGCCTTAATGTGAAACGTCTGTGTGCCTCCATTCGATATAACAAAAGTGCAGGAGTCGACAGTATGTATAAGGGCACCATGGAGTGAGATTGTACCGCGGCACGTATGATTCATCTCCGACTGGTTGCGATAGTAGCTAAGCACTCCCTTGGAGAGTACAAACCAGCGCCTCTGATAGCCCTTGATGTAGTTGGTCCACTTTAGAAGCCAGCCTTTCATTTCCGGGTCGCCCTTTTCGGCCGTCGTCGTCTTAGCCGTCGCATCGGTCATCTTGGCAATAGAAACCGCCCCCCGCTGCTGCTGCAGTCCAAAGTTAGTGGCAATTGCTGGGCAATTGCTATTGCTACTGCCAACGACGGCGGCGACCTCGACTTGCTGACTGCTGCTGATTGAGCCGTTTCGAAATAAACGCCACGTACGACGGCGACGGCAACGACGACGCGACGACGATAATGACGGCGACTCCAAATCCAGTTATAAAATGTTCTATTAGGCAACTGCAATTGCAGCACCTTGCATTATTGATTGCACACTGCTCCGCTCTGATCACAATTAATTTGTAACATATGTATATATGTACACCGTGGACTTGCACGCAATTTTTCGGATAGTAACAATACAATTTTCTGCACAAAATAAAGAAACTAGTGGAAGAGTCAAAGTGCGCATTTGTGTGCGTGTACGTGAGTATGCCGCGTTGGTGTGTGTGAGTTTGTACGCGTGTATGTGCGTATGTCATTTCATTTTTTTGTCGGCTCTGCCAACTCGCCTCTGTTTCAGCTGCTGTTTTGGCAGGTGCGAGCGGGATGGCGAGATATGGGGATTTGGGGCCACATACAACTCTGCATCTTCGCATGACGTAGTATCGAAGACGGTTAATTTGAATTGATGTGTGAAATTGTTCACAGCTGGGTGTGTGCTGTTGTTGGTTATTTATCAGTAAAATTACCTACTTGTGGTTCCACTTTCATGTTTGTGCCTGACCACCTTCACATGCGCGGCGTTAAATGAATGACTCAGTTGTTGTGGTCGTTCGTATAAACATTCGCAATAAAACAAATTGCATCGTTATGGGTTTCACTTTACTAACATACACATACATATGTATATACATACGTACATTTTATAAATAAATACAGTGAACAATATTTAATAAAAAAGGCAGCATTAAAAGTACACAATGTCACGGCTCAGTGACTTACTTATTGCACTCGGCCCAGCTGCCATCGAAGGAGTAACGAAACTTGTGTATCATGCGGAACAAGCTGGAAATACAAATTCAATCAATTGAAGGCGGTCTTTTAGGTTATTTGAAAGGTAGTCAGTCAATCGGTGGGGCGACTTGTGAGATAGCATTTGGGACAGACAGCATATAAGGCAGCGAATGTCAGGCGTTGACGACAAATGTACATTTATTACATACACATAGAATAACAGGATAGAGAGAGAGGAAGAGTAACATAAACAAACGAACCACCACATTTAATTATAATATATACAATAAATTGTTTATTCGTAGGCAGTTCTTGCATAATATAAAATAAATATGTATATAGTTACAAATAATTTAAAAATACAAATACAGTTTCTTTTTCATAGGTTTTTTTTATAGTCCCTGACGGCACTTTTCACAAAACATTAGGAAGTGTTGGATAGGCATTTATGTGCGAATACATTGAAAATAGATTTCACAACAAATACAAAGAACGTAAGTTGTCTGGGTCTGTTTTTCTTATTTTTTCTAGTTACAGATATGCGGCGGGACGACAGAAACTGATGTGGACTGAATGAAGAACGACATATAAAGCGAATGCTCCAGTTAAAAGTTATGCACGAGACAAACATACATAGATGTATAGATTTATATATATGAATATATATATATATATGTATATAGGGGCAGGCATAGGCCGAGTTTTGATCATGGTTTAAAAGCAGACTATTTTTTTCGCATGAGGATTCCTTGCTTAAACGCTATTATGAATGAGTGTGTGTATGGGTGTCTGTAGTAGTTGGTGGAGTTGAAGTTGGATTTGAAGTTGTAAGTAGTAAGAGCATTTCTTTACATGGTACTGTAAGCAGCGGTGTTGAAGCTTTGCTTTGGTGAACTTAGCCTACTGAGTGGATGAGTTTTCCCATGCTGAGCCAGGCGGCGATGCTGGACTTGGTGCTGTTGCTGTTGTTGTTGCTGCTGCTGATGGTGGTTGGTTTGGTGGTGCAGGTTGCTCAGAGGTTGGGCACTGTGCCGAGCAGGCGCAGGCGGTGGGCGACTCTCACTATAATCGTGCGTTTTATTCGACTGCGTACGATCGTAGTACGAGCGCGGTCGAGGCTTAAAGCTTGTGGCATTATTGGTGGCAGGCAGATGTGGCGGCAGCAGCGTAGGCTGTGTGCTTGTTGGCGGTACAATGACAGCATTAGTTAGACAGCTGCTATTGGAAGTGGTTTGATATTTATGCACTAGACCTTTGACATTACGATCACAAGTTTCGCTTACGCTGGAGTCTGACGAATTGGATGTCGATGAGGAGCAAGGCGAAGCATTTAGCGACCCCCCTGTTGCGTTTGCCGCTTCAACAACAGCAATGGCAGCCGAGCAGGCCATGCCTCCTCTATTATTAGTTGCTGCAGGACAGTTAGTCACATGATCGACATGTTGCGCCACCGGCGATGAAGGCAGTGATTGGTGTGTTTTCTTGGTCGTAATATTAATGGCTGAAGTGACGGTTGTCGATGTTGTGGTTAAATTTGGGGCGGCAGTTGTGCTGGCCAAACCTATCCCCACCGCCGCTTTGGCTTCAAAGTTCTGTTTAAGTATCTGCACATTACCAGAGATACGCTGATCTTCACCAGACATTCCACCTGGAACTTGTGAGCGCAGCACCACAGTACCTTCCAAATCAATGGCAGCAATATTCTTGTTCTCAATATCCGATGTATGCATAAGCTCCTCGCTGTTACAACGCAACGGATGACGTGTTCTTGTGGTGCTTGCCGACGATGCGCTGCGACATAAAGTGCTGGTGCCTTTTTTTGACAGTTCAAGCAACTCCGTGGACGCGTTCTCCTGACAGCGTTTTTTAAGGCCTGTGTTTTCTTCCAGCTTTTGTTTGGTGCGCTTCACAGTCCCCAAATGGGCTGATGATGGCTCGCTGACATTGTAATTGCTGGCAGTCTTTTTTGTTATTGTGTTGGGGCTGGTGGTACTGCGCTTTAGATCCTGTATTTCGCCTTCGAAAATGGCCGTCGTGTTGCGATTGCTGTCGTAATAGCTAGAGGAACTAAAGCGCGGCGGTTGGCTGCTTCGATTGTCGCCCGATCCCCAAGAGGCGTTTCGGGATGGCAGTTCACGTGGGCGCTCTCCACTTTGGCGCATGGCAGCAATATGTAGCGGTATATCCAATACAATGCCCCCTTTGCTTCCGAACGATTCTGTCCACGATTGTGTTTTGCGTCGCTGTCGTTTTTCGCGCTCCTCCTTGGCAAATACATTGTCCACATGTGTCGAGAAGACATCGGAGGACGATGTGGAGTCACGTCTATGCAGCATGGCGTTCGCCGTGGAGCTTCCAATGTTTGAGGTTTGTGTGATTAGCTTGGACTGGGAGGTCCATACGGTGCTGCTACCTCCACTGGCCGTTGGTTGCCCGTCACTGCTGCTAACCCGTTGACGTGGTACTCGCTGCTCCTGCGGCTGGTATGCCTCGAGATCATGCACTCGCGTGCGTACGGACTTCGGCGTGTGCTTTTGTATGTGCAATACCTGGTTCTGTGTTACACTGTAGTTCTCCCCATTGCTGCCTGGGAAGCGCATGTTCTTGGGCTCCTCGGCAACGCTGCGCTCAGGTGTCAGGTTTTCCATGGACTGACTCTGCTGTTTAGTTACCACGGCAGTCTGTGTCTTGGGCGATGTGCTGCTGGATCGGCGCACCATGCGGCGCTGTTTTTGTGCGCTGGCTCGACGATGCGTACTGCGAATCTGATCATCGCCTGTGCTTACATCAGCCTCGCCCGAAGAGGACTTTGATTTGGCCTGGTTGAGGGCTTGGATGAGGGGAGTGGGTTCGCTGCCCGGTAGAAGACGCGCATCCTTTGTGCTTTTTAGATTCGTCTCACTCTTGCTTCGTTGCAGTTTCTCCTTGTTCTTCATGGCATCTAACATACCACTGTAGGTCTCCAGCTGATTGAGGAAATTCTTATTTGGCTTTATGCAACTGCGGCGATCCTTGACGTGCTGGAGAGCTCGATGGAACTCCCATTTGTAGGCTTTCATGGCATACGCGATAACAACCGATGCTGAACGACTTACGCCCATTTTGCAATGCACTAGGACCTTGGAACCTTCTGCTCTGGCACGCGATATATATCGATACGTGTCATCCCAGTATTTAAGCAAGTTCGTCTTTTCATCATCGTAGACGCGCACATTGAAATACGTAAAGGTGCCAGGGAAGAAATTGTCAATCTCGCGCGTCACGTTCAGTATGTGACTCACTCTAAGGGGCGAAGGAATAAAAGGTTGATAATTTTTAGAGCCACTAGATTGTTGATGTTGAAACATACCCATTCTTCTGTAGCTCCTCCAAGTTACTAGCATTCCATTCCGAACCTAAATAGACATGATCAAATATTTCTGTGGGCGCGTCCATTTGTCCCAAAATGACTAACATTTCTTTATCAATAAACGACTTGTACTCTCCCAGGTCCATATCCAATATCTCCTCAAGACGACCGCGTATATACTTTGAGGTAACTTCATCCAAATCCACTGACATCATGATCTCTTTGAGCTTTGTTTTAATGACACTTTCAGTTTCCTCCTTTGCGGTTGGCCTACAGCAAAAATAAACAGCAACTAATAACGGTTTTCTTTCTTAACAAAAATTGCATATCGTACTTATTTCTTATGGCATCTGGTGAGGGCGGTCGACGACTCTCGAGAGCATCCATGGCGTTCCATTCATTCAGACACGACTGATCCGATTCAATGCGACTTGCATAACTCGAGAGCCAATCGTGCGATGGACCGCTCGGATAAAAATTGTTTTCACGAGCCTTCTGAGATACTTTGTGTAGAGTTTGTATCGCGGACCTAGAAGATGTCCGTTGTCAGTAAAATGGTTATTAATTTTGTTTAATCTAAGTTTACTTACCACATAGCTTGCACCGATACGGGCTTGAATATGTGAGTTTTCTCATAGACGGCAATACTAAAGCCACTGCATGAAACAAATAAATAGATTATGGATATATTAATAAGCTTGTTAAATGGTTACGTGCTCTTTATACATTCGATTGCAATCAGTCAACGCTGATGACATCATACCCACGATAATATACCACTTATAATTGGAGAGATATCAATTTTTATGAAAGACAACAAACACATGCATTCATGGATTTTCTTATTAATTTCAAATTTAAAGTAAACACTAATAAATGTATGGCAGCTTTATGATATAGAACAAGGATAAAACTTTAGATTATGAGGTCTGTAAAAAGTTAATAAATACCAAATCTAGTTCCGATATCGAAGTATACAACAAAATTTGGTACTGAGAGTTATGTAGTCGTACGGAGGCATATGGCAGCAATATATGGTTTATTGAAAACTAGGCCTCTGAATAAGACCTGTACCTATGTATGTACATATGAATGTGTACTTGTACATAACAAGTCGCTATTATGGTTCAAAAGTTGTTGAGGTTTATGCGGACAGACGATCATGGATATGTCATTTCGTATCATCATTCTGGCATTTATATACATACATACATACATATGTATATATGTACATACATACATATGTATATATGTACATACATACATATGTATATCTACCTATAAAATTATTATAACCTAAAAAATGAGCACGCTTTTGCTCCTCGATTACAGGGTTTACAAATTGGCTAATTTGCGTAGACTCACCCATCGCCGTCCAGATGTATGGTAGTGTCCGCGAATATGGGCAGTACCAGTCCAATAGTGGTGATTTCATTGCAGTCGATTCCCAGCAGACAGGATTCCTCCATATCTAAGGTATTCTTACTATCACCGGCCGCCGAATTCTCTTTCTCCGCATCACATTTTAGGCTTTGACGTTGGGCATTCATATTGGGCGATATGCTCGCTGAGAGTCGTGGATTAGACGCAGATTCCTCAGCTCCATGAATCTGCTGCTGTGTTTTGTGGCTATCCACAGAGAGCTGACGTTGTGTGGTAACACTAACCGCTGCTGTTGGGGCACCACTGCCTGTTGCAGTGTTGAGTAATGCAGATGAGGTGGTTGCTGCCCCTTTGGCTGAATTGTGACGCGTGATTTTGCTGCGCCGCTCGCTCGTTGCTTGACGACAACTGTGCGATACAATCACAAGGTAGCGTGTGCGATTCGTGTGCTGAGACTCCACCTTGACAGCCTTCCGTGGACAAGTAAAGGATGAGCACACTAATCATTATTTTAATTAAATTTACATAATCACCATTTTGAGCGTATCCTCACTTCCTAACACATCGAACATGGTCTGCAGATGCTGTTGTATGTCCGAATTGTTACTCTGTGTGCTGTTCGTAGAGCATGTGGAGTCAGTGCTCAGTCGACGCTCCGCAAAATTCGGTATGTCCTTAAGCGCTAATACCAGTTCGGTGCCTTTGCCAGCAAAGTATTCACGGCTTTCATGATTATGACCCTCATCGTCTTCAGCTTCGCCATCCTGTAATTACGAGAAGAAATTCAAACAAGATGTCAACTTTGTTACTTTCTGTGAATTTACACAAAGCGATCATAGTCGCCACAGAACCAGTTGCCCGGAAGAACCCACCATATGACTCACACAACGGTGTATACAAAATATACAATATTCTTTCATCATTTGTTGTGCGTAAATCAAGTTCAGTTCAATAATAAATTCATGAGGTTATCACAAGAGTAGAATAGCATTTTGTGCACAAAAAGAAATAAACTAAAGAACTTGCCGCCTACTATTTACATAAAATGTATTAAATTTGTATATTTCTCTGTCAATGTAAAGTTTACAAAAAAATATCTATCGCTGTCGCTGTCTTGGCTGCCTTTTGAATGATGAGAACATATGCATACAACGATTATTGTTTGTTGCATATACAAAATTCCAAGGGTATAGGCGGCGGCTGGCTGTATGGCCTCAAGGTCTCTAGAACTATTTTCGGGGCGTTTGGCGGGTGGGCTGTGGCGGCCACGCTAACGGAATCGAAAGAAAATCACAGCAACAACCACAACGAGCACAACCACAACAACCGCGTCGGTGGCAAAACGACAAATAAGGCAATGAAAATTTATTGAAAATACGCGCGACCGTTGTCGACTGACGTCGCGACGTCTGGTCCGAATTGGTTGAGTTACAACAACAACAGAAATAGCAATAAAAACAAAGCAACAGTAAACAGATGCGCGAATCGTTGCGCGACTGTTGATGATGACGCTGACAAACGCCCACACTGGCACAAAAAAAACAAAAATTGCACAGACACTCGCGATTTTTTATACAATATTAATTAGTAAGCGAACTGGTGGGCAGCACCAGGAGAAAGGTAAAGACTATATGATTGGCCATATGGGGCGCACCGCGCCTATGCACAAACACAAAGGATCACTGAACGGAAATATAACGGCACCTCAACACGCACAGGCTGACACATCAAACGAGTGGCTCGCTCGCTATCTGACTCTATTGGCCTTTTGAGGTGCTAAACGGAAGTGTTTATAGGCGTGTTAGCTGCAGCAGTAGCCAGCCTACTTCACCCCCTTTGGCGAAACAGCTAATGCGTAATGTTAGGCGAATAATATCAAAACAAAGCAAAATGGAGAGAGAGAGAGCTTGACAACCGCGCACAACGCAGCGCGACACACACACATATATATATATATATATATATATATATATATATATATATATGTATATATAGAAACACGCACTCACGCACGCACACAAATGTAATCTCACACTGGTTTTCACACTGACCTGACAGGCAGAGGCAGGCAAACATACGTTGTAGGAAGTGTGTGTACTATTTAGTGGGCCACATGGGCTGCTGCTTTTTCGCAACCTGGCCAATTTTCAACCGCCTGCCCCACTTACCGAATTTGAGCATTGTGGTGAGCCTGTAACACTTGGAGATCGCTGCACCGTCACAAGCGCCATGTTCTCTGTGTGAGTCCGTGTGTAATGATTCTTGTAGATGTTGCTGCTGTTAAACTGCAACTTGATGCTGCAGTTCTGCCCTCGACGACAACGCCGCTCTGGCCCGCAGCCACCTTTTATAGCTTTGACTATCCTTACGATGCTCGTTGGCTTTCTGGCTATGTGTGTGTTTGTGTTCTGATGTCTGTGTTTAGTCAAGTGTTGGCGAAAATTCACAGCATTTTCGTCGTTGTCGCCGTGTTTTTGCACTCGGCACCTTTGTCGTTACACTTAACACTACGACTATGTGTAATTGCTTTTTGCGCGACGTCTGATACAACAAAATAAAAAGAACCCGCACCCTTTCACACAACTGACAAAGTAAAACGAATAAAAATGCTAAATAACACTACAATTTCTCATCAAAGGGGAGCCAAAGACACGACGACGCCATATTTAATTTGCTACTAAAATTTCGTAAGGTTGGCAGCACATTGTCGGCGCCATCTGGCGGCATCAGTGTTGAGTAGCGTTAGCTTGTCATCTGTTTGAAGCAACAACAGCTGCGATTCGGAAGCAAATAAACACACAACTGAAACGAAGTAATTTCACAACCCATTTGATTTAATAAGTTTGTTGACAATTAGGGGGCAAATTGAGGCACGGCAAATGTCGGCATTTATCGAGGAAACAAAATGCCTGCTGCCGCGTATCGCTTTCCTAGCTTGCGGCTGTTTCAGTCCGCCCACGCCAATGCACCTGCGTATGTTTGGTGAGTAATTGTTATTTTTATTACGAGTCTCTTAATCGATAAGGTATGATGTTGTTGTTTCATTTAAAACATATAGAAATTGCGCGAGATCATTTTGAGATGAATGAGATGCATAAGGTGGTGGGTGGCATTATATCGCCCACACATGATTCGTATGGTAAAAAGGGTCTTGCTCCATCTGCCGATCGTCTTGCTATGGTGAAGTTGGCATTGCAAAGCTCTACCTGGATACGTCTCTCGGACTGGGAGGTAAATCACCCACAGTGGGTACGCACTCGGTCAGTCTTGCAATATCATCAAAACTACATGAACAATTACGTCAACTCGCCCGGCGATAAAGAGCAAAGTGGTCCGTTACCTGGATGGTTGCCGTATAATTTGCGTGAGCGTAAAGATCCCATACAGCTAAGGCTGCTGTGCGGCGCAGATCTTCTGGAGTCCTTTGCAAAGCCTGGACTCTGGGCGGACGAAGATGTGAGTGAAAATTTTTATTTTAAAATGACTACCCAAATAAAGGAATTCTTGCAGATAGAGGATATTGTGGCTAATCATGGACTAGTAGTCATCACGCGCTTTGGCTCAAATCCTGAACGATTTATATTTGAATCTGACATTCTTACCAAATATCAGGTAAAATAAGTGAGTTACGTACTATAATAAGTCAATAACTTAAAGCCAATTTCTTCGATAGCGGAATATAACACTTATTACCAATTGGGTCCCGAACGAAGTGAGCTCTTCGTTGGTTCGTCGATTGTTGAACCGTGGCCAGTCAGTTAAGTACTTGCTGGACGACTTAGTTTTGGAGTACATCAAACGAACAGGACTATACAACATGAAATCGTACGTACAGCCTTCACCATTTGAAATCCCACTCCAAACTCTCGCTCATACACCGCAACAATGCCCGATGGCATATTTCAATTCGATTTAGATACGTACACTGATTTAGGTATCATGAGCTTTCCATACACACAGACACACACTCGCATCCAAATGCAAGTTTCATCTTAGCATAGACCGCCAAAAACTAAAGCACACCATCATCTCTCTCTCTTACTCGTCTGCCGTCTGCAACAACAACAATAGCAGTAGGGTGACGCAGGATGCACCACACGGGGGCGAGTTATGACCCCACACTGAGCACCATGTGCACTCAAAGTTACAGCAATCAAAGCAATCACAGCAAGACCAACCAAAACAGCAACAACAACAACTGCCATCTCCAGAATTTCTCGTGCAGTGGCAAATGTTTATGGAGTGTGAGTGAGCCAAAGAAAGAATGCATAATTACTTAAAGCGCAGGTTTTTTGCATGTAAATACGTAATTTAAAATTGTTCCTGTTGTTATAATGAATCTTGTAAATACATACCTAGAACATGTGCACATGCTTATAGAACATAGTAAATAGCTTTACTATCTGTGTTCAGTGTACGTATCCAATAGTGCACCAAATTGCCGTTGTGCATAATACGATATTCAAAAACTCATTGAACAATAACCAAGTTAATATACCTTGTCGTTATACTGACACGCCTACCTATAGTAAGTATATAACGGATACAGTGCAACCGAATCGTTTGCTTTTCAATCGCGCCTACATGGAAAACATTAAGAATGCAACCAGCTTAGCACAAAGCCCACCCACAGACGACGATGACGAGGGGGACGAACAGCACATGGATGAGACGGACAGCCTACTAAAACGCCAAGCCCCGCGTGTCTTCTGCTGCGGTGAAGCGTCCTCGCCGGTACAGGCGCGTGCAACAAAGCTTATGCTCAATCGCTCTGGACCCGGCCAGGCGGTGCAGGTTATAACTGTGGAGAGCGCTATGGGCACCGACAAGATAGAAGTAAGTATACCAAAGTAAATAAGTATAGTAAGCCAGGATTTCAAGTAACTACAATTGTAGTCTCTTATATATAGTACATACATATTTATAGTATATGCGTTATATCAGAGTTTTTTAAAATGGTTGTGTTTTGAGTGAAGCCGTGAAATGTACATTGAGTTCGTAAGTTGGTACAAGTTTAGTTTGATGATCTTAATATATACGCGTAGTACCTTTATTTCTGTACCCGTAACTCTAACCACGACTGGCCAATTTAAATGTGTATTACTTCAAAACATGAGAGAATACATAATTTTTAATAGGCAATGATGATTAGGCATTTATGATTGAATCAATTTTGGTATTATGATTAAATAAATTTTGATATATATAATAAACGTTCTTTATTACAGTCTCAGGCAAAGAAGCAGAAAATTGCCCAAGTACAGCAGCTCTAAATGAGGGTACTGGAATAATACAGGAATACAGGAATGTTGTTGTTTTTATTAAACACACCATAACTATTTGTATTTATCTGTACTATATGCAAAATAAATACATATGTTACTCACAAAGCAAATAGCAAATCGTTTCATTTCCCCTTTGAAGGTCGCACCAAGAAACCAGCTTGGGCAGGCATTGAACTTGCAGCGCATAATGTTGTTGTTGTTGCTGCTAGAACTTCAGGGTGCATTGGCATTGCAGCGAAAGGGCTTCCCTGTGCCACATTGTGCAACAACTTCCTAACGCAATCGCATATCGGATGACAAACTAGCTGCCATAGCCATGGCCCGTTAGATTTGACTTAGCAATCGTTTCAGTTGCTCGGTCATAGTCAAGGCGTCCAGTTCTGTGTCAGTAACGGCGTCGCGATGTATCTTTTCAAGCGTCAGCAAGTGCGGGCGATGCCACGCCCATCGCGCACCGCCTTTGGAATGTCAAAACGCGCGCGGGTCCAACTAACGCCCTCGCACCAGCACGACCAGCTGCCGTTTTTGTCGCGCTCCCGTTTCAGTGCTCTTCCCCACTTTCGTGCCTACGACGATGCTCCGGAGAATCTGTCGCTGTTTATTGCCATTCTATATGTGGTGGATTTGTTTGGCATTTTCCCGTTCGTCACGCTGCCGGGCATGCTTGTCCAGTTGGGTTACTTTGGTGTGCCTCTGGTGCTGTCCATCATCTTCCTGCAGATCTACACGTCGTTTCTGTTGGCGCAGTGCTGGACAATGGCCGAGCTGCTAGATCCCGCCATTGTACAGAAACGCAACTATCCATATGCCGCTCTGGCGGAGTTGGCCTACGGTCGCGTTGTGAGCGTGTTGGTCTCGGTTCTGCTGGATCTGAGCATATTTGCAATGGCTGTGCCCAGCGTGGTGATGGCGGCCGAGAATCTGGAGACTGTGGTGCAGCGCATGAGTGGTGGCCAGTATACATTTTCCTACTGCTATTGGGCAATTATAGTGGGCGCGGTCATATGCCCACTAATGTGGCTGGGCAGTCCGAAGCACATGCGGTAAGGTGGAGAGTTGGTAGTTGTTGTTGTGGGATCTGCATCTAATGAATGTGTGTCCAATGTAGCGGACTCACCATCATTGCCGCTTGCGTAATGATCATCATTGTGGTCCTCCTGTGGTTCTGTCTCTTTAGTGCGCCCCCCATTGGCAAGCCCTTTGAAGGCATTGGCATAGGTACGTAAACGACTTCAGATTTGTGGGTTAATACCATTACACCTAATTCTGTTTTTACACGGTAGATTTGTCTCAAAAAAACCGTGTAAAAAAAGACAATGATCATATGCACATTGGTTCCTTATCTCTAAAACCTAATAAAATTTGTGAAAAAACAAGGAATTTTTAAGTACAAGTATTCATAAGCTGTGTTACTTATTTGTGTTGTGCTATTTTTATTTAATTTAATTTATCAGATTTTTCACAATTCATTTTTTATTTAATTTAATTTTTCAGAAATATCACAATTTAAATCTCGATTAGCCATCACTTAGGTACTTGGTATGAGAATCGCAGAGGAGGGACGTCACAATATTTCTTAATTTCATTTAATTTATCAGAAATTTCACGATTTATTTTTATTTAATTTAATTTCTCAGAAATTTCACTATTTAAATCTCGACTTGCCATCACTTAAGTACTTGGTATGAGAATCGCAGAGGAGGGCGCCCCACAATATTTTTATTTGATTTAATTTATCAGAAATTTCACGATTTATTTTTATTTAATTTAATTTCTCAGAAATTTCACTATTTAAATCTCGACTTGCCATCACTTAAGTACTTGGTATGAGAATCGCAGAGGAGGGCGCCCACAATATTTCTTTATTTAATTAAATTTATCAGAAATGTCACAATTAATTTTAATTTAATTTAATTTCTCAGAAATTTCACTATTTAAATCTCGATTTGCCATCACTTAGGTACTTGGTATGAGAATCGCAGAGGAGGGCGGTTGCAATACTTTTATTTAATTTAATTTATCAGATTTTTCCCAGTTCATTTTTTATTTAATTTATCAGAAATTTTACGATTTATTTTTTGTTTAATTTAATTGATCAAAAATTGCACAATTTATTTCCACAATATTTTTATTTAATTTATAAGAAAAATCACAATTTAATTCTCGCCTCCCATCACTTAAGTACGAGGAGGGCATACATATTTAATTGTTCCAATATTCTCATTCCTGCAGAGCTGCCTCGTTTTCTGACCGTTCTCAACAGCTACAGCGTTTTGGCTTTCCAATTCGATATACATCCTATGCTGCTGACGCTTCAAATTGATATGAAAAAGAAGTCGCAGGTAGCCTGGGCTGCTCTGGGCGGTATTGCTAGTAAGTAAAAATGAAAACTGTCATGATTTTTGAGATTGCATTCTCTTATTCGTCATAATTTCATTACGATTAACCTGAAAATGAACTCAACATTAAAACTGATGGGAATATAGTTAAAACCATTTTTTAGCAAATTTTTGAATGACAACTTACAGACACTTTCAATTGGATTTGACAAATATCTTAGTAATAAAACTTTATAATTACGCTTATTTCTTAACACTTTTTATGTATCACAAAATTACAATCTCATAAGCGTCAAGAAATATCACTTTCCCGAATTATATACATATAGCCTTTGTGTGCCACGTGTTTACATAGATATATATATTTATTTAATTTATCAGATATATTGCCACAATATCTAATACATTTTACAGACTTCATTTTATTTTAAAGACTTAGTACTAAATTTAAATACTCCAAAAGTCAGAAATTCAAACGTTTCGCAACCAAATTAGTCGATTTTCCCAAAAGATATAACAACGTATATATGACGATCCCACTTGATTTTTGTTGTGCTCAGGTGCTTAAAACGATCTTAAAACGAATTCTTTAAATTTCAAACTAATAGTTCAAGTTGGTTTCGATAAGTTGATGCTGCAAATAGGTGCTTCGTATAAGAAGAGCAGAGGGGGTTGTAATTTCATTTTAGGTCGCAGTAGGAGAAGAGTTTTAAGAAATTGGAAACACTTAAATTTACAATATTCATTTCACAAATTTTAAACAAACGAAAGCTTACATTTTGATTTATATATAGATATGCCTTATAATATTTTAATTGATAACTATTAGTTGCTTAAGGCTTTAGTTTAACAGATTATATATTTTTTTTCAATAGAGCTCCTAAGATTTAAGATGTATTCCATATGCATATTTGAACATACAAAGACAAAGATTGTTTTTGCTTTTCCTTTTGCTCAGTCACGTGCAGCGTCGCCATTTTTGGGTCCATAGTGGCTGCCTATAAGTTTGGATCAATGATCGCGGACAATCTGCTCCAATCACTGCCTTCTAGCGTGCCCTTCTATATCATGGTCATTCTCATGGCGCTGCAGTTGTGTTTTTCGGTTACGGTGGCCAGTTCTGCAATGTTCCTGCAAATCGAAAACTATTTCAGACTGCCAGAGTGTAAGTAAATCGCATCCCACAGACATTATAATCATATATAGGATGGCTGTTGCAGCTCTGACGTGCAAACGAGTGCTCATACGCTCCACTCTACTGGCGCTAGAGGTGCTGGTGGCCGAATTTGTGCCCAGCTTCGATGCTCTAATGGATGTGGTGGGCGGCACCATTACTGGACCTTTGGTATTCATATTGCCGCCGCTGCTCTATCGTCGGATTAGGCGCATGGAACGCGTGCATCAACGGATTGCGGCGGAGGCCAGCTATGGCAGCTTGCCATTAGATCTCAACTACGACCCCATTGAGTTGGAAATGGAACCGCTGTTGGCCGCCACACCAGCCCATACACCTCGGGGCTGTTGGTTACGCCTGATGCGCTTCCTATATCGCTTCGAGTGTGATGTGTCCTGCACAATGGCTGTGCTGGTCTTTGGTGTGCTGGCCACCTTCCTCGCCACCTACCTGAATTTGTTTACCATTGCGGATATGTTTAAGAACAATTCGCCATGCTTGGGCAACTTCACAAAGCATTAAGGCATTTGCATTTACATTTGCAATTCATCTCGGAAACCGGCGCTTTATCTTTACTCGCACTTTATTACTGACCAGAAGATTTAGTCACACTTACTCAGCCAAAGTGCTTTAACAACTTACTGAGCTCATCAAGTTCGGCAACTTAATTCAATTTGTGCGCCATTGTCCTTCTAAAAGTTCAAATACCTGCCAGCGAGCTCACAACATTAAATGAAATATTTGCTTAAAGTGTTTTGTATAACACAACAAACTACAAATTAAATAAATTTATTATTTTATATGTACTGTGTGTGTGTGTGTTTGTGTGTTTTTCATCATACTTAGCGTATAAGCACGCACATAATGCTGCTGCTTCTTCATCTTCTTTTATTTAATACTTTTAATTAGTTAAGCTTTATTAAAACATACAAAACTACAACTATTTTTTCGGCAACTGCACACGCGCATCATTTATCATTTTTTTCTAACAATGTTTCGTTTTGTTTTGTTTGCCAAAAGTGTTGTCTATTTTTCTTCTTCTGAGCAGTAATCTGAGAGTCTGGCCAGTTGACGAGATATTTGCAATGCTATACGAGTATGCCATATGCTACTATACTTGTATATACTCGCATTTTGATAAGCTCCGATCGATGGATCGATGGTTCGATCGGTCGTTGGATGCTTTCTTTCTTCCAGCCAAGTGTGTCTTCGTCGCATGCTAAGAACATGAGCTCAGTGTTTAAATTTAAAACGACGAACGATGAAAGAGTTCTTAAACTTTTACGCCTGTATTCTACCCATACATAAATTTAATTTATTCTTTGGAAGCTGTTGCTGTTTACTTCTCCCCATTACTTTTTTATTTGCGTATTTATATACACTCATATAGTATATATATGTAGGTATGTAGATGCTGTTGCTCATGAGTGTATGTGTATAATTTTTTTTCCTGGCATTCATTTCCGTCTTCAATAATACGTTTTTAACCATGTTCATTCAGGCGCGATGAGTCAAGCATTATTTTGATAACCCCTCAGTATGAAAACCACAACAAACACGTAATCATTTTTTTCTATGCTTATTTATTAAAATTAATACTTATTGTTTGATAATGTGCGCTTCTCGCCACCAGCCGCCACAACGCGCTCGTCACATTGGTGGCCGTAATTGGCCAACTTGGTGGCCGAACACCTGTCTGTAAGTCTGTCTGGCTTGTCTGTCAGCTGTCTGTAAGAGTTGGTCGCTTTTATTAGCTCGTTATTTTCGCTGGCATTTATGGCCCAAAAGTACTATTCGTACGGCCAATGTAACGCCGCTGCTCTACGCACCCTTTTAATTGCGACGAACCTTAATTTAATTGCTGCGAGTTTTTTCTGCTTTTCGCTGTTAATACTCGGAATATTACTCGTATGTTGTTTTTTTATGCAGAAGGTCTTGTTTAGCACGACGAACTTCGATACTGGCGTTTCGAGGATGAGTCACATCTGAGGTTACAACGCTCCATAGATCGGGCCATCAATAAGCCACTTTGCATAACTCGCATTGGAAAAGTTAGTTAGGAATTGATTTGTCTTGACTATTCGTAGTTCGACAGATTGAGTGGCTAAGTTGGCTCAAGTGCAGCATAAATCGTGGTAATTGATTACATCGCTAGGCATCTGACAAGCTTTTTTACATTTTACACACAACATGCATAATTAATACCCATTTACATTTTATTGTTGATTAAATGAAAATGAGAATCTTTGCAAAATTATAGTGAGTGAGAAATAAAGACATCTGCGCATAAATTCCATAACTATTCTGAGGCCGAGGGCCACCACTTAGTCAGCAATGTTGGTACTGATCAGTAACATGAATATCTTCAAATTTGTGCTAATAAATTCATTATACCCTGCACTGAATAGTCGAATGGTATACTGTTTTTGGTGTGCACGTTTGTTTATTTATTAATGAGGACGGACCAGAAACGGTATTCAGATTTTGTTTGATTTAAAAATAGTTTTTATGGCAGATTATTTATTTTCAAAGAAAGGGAAATGAAACGCAATAAAGTGGTCGATTCAAGGACATGGCTTAAACATGGTCCATCACTTCCCACCTCAGATGGAATCGTCAAAACAATGGACTGAAGGGCGAGCAGGGGCTCTAAATTATGGCGAAGACAGTTCGATCTACAGGCAAGTTTTTTGGAAAGCACATGGGATAATTTTTATTGATTATCTTGTAAAAGGAAAAGCAATCAATGGCGAGTGTTATGCGAACATATATCAGCTTTGGAGTGAGGAAGTTAAGAAAAACAAATATATTCTCTTAACGGACAAATAGGGAGCATTCGCCAGATTTATCCTCCTCGGATTAGAATTTTTTTGTTCAAAATTTGTTTCAAAATTTACTTTTTTTCCAACAATGAGGATAGCTAATTTTTTTTGGGGAGGACGACGTTTCCTCTTATTTATAAGCAGGGGACTATGTGGAGAAAGAATAAAGGTATTATTTTCTAAAATTGTTTCGTTGGGTTTTCGTTGTGAGGTACTTTTAAGTCTTAGAAATATATTATTTTTATTATTTTTAAATCTTTAATTTGTCTCTAACATATGTTCTAGGTTGGACAATTATTAATTTTTATGATAACTTTGATATTTTGAATCATGCTTCTATCGTGATGGTTGCGGCGTGATTCGAGTTGAGCTCCTACTCAGGAACAAACTCACATTGTGGACACCATTGTCTTGGTATTCGCGAGAATTAATTTGTGCATCTCTAACTTTCTGAAACTGACATTTGCGCAACCTATTACCTGCGATTACGTTTCTTACATATAAATTTAAATATTAAGCCCATTTCGTTGTAGATTTAATTTCTGATATGCTGATGTTATCTTCAATTAAATGGATTTTGTTTCGTTCAAGGCTTTGGGCCCACTTTTCAACACGCCTATTTGTGGGCTGGATTATTTGACACAAATTGTCGGGGTGAAAATAATGGAATCGAAACCAAGCGAAAACCGAACACTATAGTAAATTCGCGATATGCTCTGTAATTATATTTTTTTGACAGTTCATCTCAGAAGTATATGTATGTATTTTTTTGGTTTGTGCTGCGCTTTGTGTGTTGCTTTCTCGGCGCTTCTCATGCCACAGTTTTCAGCGTGTCATGGAGCAATGGGTCCCCCCGCACACTCCAGTAATCAATTGCCTGCTGCTTATTGCCGACCACCCCCGCCAACCCATGAGCAGTGGGCCGCCAGTCCACTCGAAGCCAATTGGCTGGGGGGCACAAGTGCCGCAGCTGCTAAAAACTGATTATACGGTGGCAATTTTCAAGTGCTCGCCGCAAAAGCTTAACCCAAAAATTAATGATATTTAAATTGCAAGTTCCTTTTTCCAAAACAGTTTCTAAAGCACAACAAAGGCGAACAGCCCACAGTGTATGAAACCGCAATACAACACAGCTACTCGTAAAGGCGAACTTAACTGAAATTTCACTTTTCATTTCCTATTGACCTCTTTTCATTGGCGTACTTACTTCTTTCTAATTTCTTTGCGTATGGCTGCCAAGTGTTAGCCAGCCGGTTCGATTCTTTCGCCATACTGTATTTGATTTTGAGTTTAATTTTTATTTTTTTCTAATCGAATTTCATCTCTTGTGCTTGATCAACTGTAACGTCTTTCAAATGCCGTTTATGGTTAATTTCAGAGTTGGCTGCTGGCTGCTGCCTGCTGGCTGGTGCCTTCTTTCTGCCTCAGCTTTTAGCGACTTCTGCATCGATTGAATACTCATTAGGCACACACGCACGCACGCAGAACTTGACGCGCGATTCATGGACGGATGGATGGATGGATGGTTGGCTGGATGGATAGATGAATGGACGATGGGTCTGTTCTGGCCCGGTCTGGTCTTTCAATCATCGGGCGATGATGACTTTTTGATTTCGCTTGTCTTCGCGAATCTGCGCGCACCGAGTGTTTTCGGCTCCGGCCAAAATGTTTATTGTTTTGCATATTATAGTATTTGCCTATTTCATGTAACTTCGGGCGATCTGCCGCTTTCTGCGCACGTTTGCTACACGTGTGTCCCGCGAAGCGAGATCATCTAGCTAGCGTTTTAAAACGCGAGCAAATCGCGCGCCTTCAATTTTTTACGCTTTTTCGTTTTCCTTGCCTATTGCTCGATCGATTGTTAAATAGACCCATTACTTGCTCCTATTCCGCAGGGTGGCAAACGCGTGGCCGAACCCACGCTTTCTTTATTTGTTACATTAATGTATGCCCCATGTCTTAAATTTATGCGATTATCTGTTGGATATTAAGTAGATAATGAAAAGGCTTCTCTTATACATGAAATCGTCAAGCCTCATTTGATTAATGCCGTGTTTCAAAAAATGTAAATGAGGCAAGAAAAGATAACTGTTTAGATTTCGCCAAAATCAATTCTCCATTTTCGTATTTTTAATCAATTCAATTTAATTTCTTAAAATATTGTTATTGGTAAATAGAGCGCTTGTTTTTTGCGTAATTCTTTTCGACAACAAGTAAGGCAATATTCAAAGCTTAAACAAAAACAACATACAAAATTATATAAAATAATATACAATTTTATTTATAAACGAAATTCTTGTACATTCAGCGAACAAAGTAAATGCAAATCCTCCTATTCTTTATTCAGAGTTAAAACTTAAAACTACAAGTAATCCAGAATCTACCACAACTACATTTTCTCCAACCTTGCTGGAGATTTTCCTTTCTCTCTTGTTTTCCTTAGGTTATCTAATTAGTTCTTAATTAGAATTAAGCATTCTCCTCTATTTACTATTTATTTAGCTTCATAGGTTGGAATGCTCAAGTAGAGCCAATTTTTAAGATATTAACAAGAATTCATCAAAATTTAGTTTTTTTTAAACTATTCCAGATAAAATTTGTAGTTGGGATAACCACAAGTTAATAATATCATTAATAAAATAAAAGACACTGTAACATATTGTTTCTTGTGAAATGTCTGTATCTTTATCTGTAATCTTT